TGAGTGCTTAAAAGGACAGAGAAACTTCTGGGTTAGGATAATGAATGCTGACCAATTTCAAAATCTTTCTGTTCACCCTCAAAAAAAATATCATAAAACCAACAAAGAAAGGAAATAATACCACATAGGACCCATTCTTTTGGCAGTACTAGGAGAAAGAATTCTACAACCTTCACATGACCTGTAATAGAAAAACAGACCAAATTCCAACAGAGCTCCCACACCACCCAACAGCAAGTCTGCAGGATTGGAGAGGGGTAGGGGGAGACACTCAAGAGCAATTGATACACAGAGGCACCAAGAACTTAGGCAAAGCAAGAAACTCACCCCCAGAATGGGTCCAACAATAAAAGTAAAAATTCTGCACACAGGTAAGGACCTATATGCTAAAGCACTGGTTAGGACAGAAGCTTGGGGGACAGTGGGAGTGGATGGAAATGGCAGCCTTGGAGAAGCACAGCTTTTGAGGGCAAACCAGAGAGACAGAAAGGGATGTACCACTGGAAACATGGCAGTGAAGAGAAAGAAGAGGGTAAGAGGGAAAAATTAGGGACCCCAGAGAAAGGAAAGAGAAACAACATTTTCCCACCCCCTCCCCCCAACACAACCTGTAAAAGAAAGTGCACAGAGGAGGGTGCTATAGAACTCTCTAAGTAGGGAATGAGGAGATATACNACAGGAACACAACACTCCAAACTGAATTTAAAAACTTCAAACAAGCATTTGGGATAAGAAAAAAAATTCTGAAGCAGAAATACAAACAGATATGAGCAAACCACCAAACAAAAAAAGGAAGAAATGCAACAAGAGCTGAATTAACTCAAAGAAGAAACAGAAAAAAGTACACATTTCCCAGTAGGACTGTGAGGCATGCATCTCTTCACAATGAAGCACAAGGAAAGGAAAGGAATTCACCTGCAAAGGGATGGGCACAGTCACGGCACAACTTGAAGACTGGTGAACTACCCACAGTCCCCTTCGGCAGGCAGGTAGGGCAGGATCGCTGAGGACTCTGAGGGACCAGGTAAGGCCTACTAATTTCATGTTCAAAGGTGGGGGAGGCAGGATGTCTTCAAGGAAGAAGAGATTGTGTTTTGGCTTCTGATAAACTCAATTTAGAACTCAAGCTCTACTGTTCCTAAAGATGTGGTGAGCAATTATTTTTAACCCCTCTAAGCCCCTTATTTGTCATCTGTGAGTGGATGAAAGGATGGACAGACAGACAAGTAGACAGTCACACACAAGCAATTGTACTTGTCTGAGGCTGGGCTCCTCCCAGAACAGAACATCACAAAAGGACTTGTATTCAGGTGATTTAATTGGGAGAGGAAACGAAGGAGGGTGAGCCTGGAAAGGAGCCTGAGCCAGTAGCAGGGGTCCCTTACTGTGCTGTTTAGTGCTGTGGGCAACTGGAGCTCAGTCTTGCTAGGACTTTGAGGAATGATTGGAAAGCTCGTAGAACTGTCTGTACAAAGACAGAGAAGCATTTTTCCATCGGCTCCTGACCAGTCTAGTTAAGGGTTGACCCCATTAACTTCCAGGCACTTCCAAGCTGAACATGCCTTTGTGCCCCCCAACCTGCATCTCCTGCTGGCTGGGCCTGGAGAAGCCCTGGAGCAGGGAAAAAAGAAAAAAAGAAAGTACAGTGACGACACTTGAGACAACATTTGAGGGGAAAGTGAGTCAAAGCCTGTATGAAAGAGTGAATATAATATAAGGAGGTGGTGTTTTGGAGGCAACTGGTGGAATATGGCTCAAATCCCCTCCCACCCCAGTCACTGAATATTCAAGCATCAAACACGCAGGGGACCTACACTTACATAACGTTATATGCCAATTATATCACAGTTAAGCTGGAAAAAGCATAAACTGAGTCTTCAAGGAAGAGCTAATAAGCATTGCTACTATATAATGGTAACAGGGAGGAGCTTCTCCTGAACTCCAGGGATTTCCTAGGATGTCTGTTGTTGCCACCGTGGCTGGTGAATGATGCTGAAGAGGCATTTGGAGCAACCACAGTCCTACAAGGACAAAGCAGCTGAAGGCTCAGACCCCTCAGAGCAAAGGTCTTAATTCTACAAATCAAGTAACATCCTGGTTGGTTGCCACAGATCTCTGTGGGTCAAGACACCCTGAATGCCATTCCAACCCATTATGGTAATTGTATCCACCTTGCCCCTGGTGGTCAGTACCACCCACCTGGCCTTTGTTATTCCAGAACCCTATCATTTCTATTGATACTGGGGAACCCAGTTCCATGGAACTCCCTATTAGCCCCACCCAGCCTGTTTCCCCTCACCAGAGCATTCTGTATTAACTTGGTGAGTCAAGTGTTTTCTTTGGACCCACCTAAAGAACATGGTCAGATAATACATTCTCCAGCCTCATAAAATAAATCCATTCTAAAATCCTTTCTTCTCAGAGACTTCTGACCTTGATGCTCTGCCCAAGCAGTTCTTGAATATTTATCTAATTTACTGTAGGTCATATTCATGCCCAAGCTTCAAGAACCACCCCAGTAGAATATTAGGACCAAGTTACTCAGATATTAAATCCTGAGTTATGAATAGCACTCCCATGTTAATAAATTCTCCCTTACCCAGCCTTATTCTGCCACTCCTGGCCAATGCCTTTAAGATCCACTCCCCTACATGCTCCTCCTATTCCGGTGCTACACATTAGCCAGATCCTGGAATTATTTTCCTGAGTATTTTCTCCCAGACAAAGAACAGCCCTGATTAGATTATGCTGAGATTGCATGGAGTTCTTCCAGGGGTGAGGGGTCGGAGCACACTCTCTGCGGAGGACAAGCATCATCTTGGGAGGCATGAATCTCAACAGGATCTTTGCACGGTCTCTAAACTGGAAAGGCTGCTCTCTTCTAATAAGGCATTGGTTCTGACCATCCAGAGGATCAGGGAAATTCAGGGAAACTCAGATGGGAACAGCCCCCCAGATGTTCCCATCTGAGATCTCTTGGTCCTACTTTTTCCATATTAGGACCCTGAACACCTGTCAAGGGTGTATAGGAGAAGCAGAACCACTATGAATGATATAGAATGAGGAACTTGTACAGAGGTTTGACAGCACAAATATGGAAGTTAAAAAGTCTATATATGACTGCTGCTTCTGCATCTGGAGCTGAGCCTGAAGACAGCAGAGCAAGTGGAAACGGAAGCCGGACATGGAGCGGGAAGGGGCAGGTACAGAGTGGAATCCCAAAGACAAGCTGGAACTCACGAATACAAAAAAGAAGCCACGTCTCTTATCCTCTTCATACCTCCAACTTCAGTGATGCAGGTAACTGCAGAAAAGCTGCACACACTAGCCCAGGATTCTAAGCAGCTGATGGAGGTGATCCAACAGGAACTGAAAGAGCTGCAGGCCCGCCTAAAGCTCCATGCCCACAATACGACACAGATCTGCCAGAACGCATGCAAGCTGCAACAGTGCCTAGTACCAACCTTCCTATGTAAAAGAAAAATGGCTGCTGCTCCACTTCTGCCTTTAAATACTACTCAAAATGTCTCCTGTGACCAGTGCTAACCCACCCCAGAAGGGAGTTCTGGGAAACATAATTCCAGTTTGGCTCAGTTGACATAGTACAAACCCACCAAAGAAGGTATACAGGTCTACCACCCTTAAGATTAAATTCTGCACCTGCTTTTTTAGCATCACCTGTCCTGTGGCTGCAGGCAACGAGGATCTTTTCATTTTCAAATGGGCCATAGAGGCCCTCCTTTTACAGTGTGCTCTGCCTTGATAACTGGTTGACCTACATCTGTCATTCTCTTGTTTTCAAAGTGTCCAAAAGTAAAAGAGGTCAGTCAACTTCAGAATACTCATAATTGCCATTGTCCCCATATCACTCAAATCCCAGAGCTATGGCACAACCAAACACTTCACCTTTTAGTGCTAGTCCCGATCCCCTGCAGGTGACAGCCTCAGTAATCGTTGTGTCACACGTGCCAGGGGTTATCACCACCTGCTACCCCCACCAGCAATGGTGTCCTCACTGCAGTCTTACCTGTGGGCGATGGAAAGCGTAACTCCAACATCCCATCTGAGGTAAGCTTTCTAGAGCCACTTTAGGCACAAACTGTCTGAGCTGGGACTCATGTGCAAGTGGTTTACTTGAAGGTAATCCCAGGGAGAAGGACGAACTCAAGAGCAGGAACTAGGGAGGCAGGAAAAGCCAATCTAAGGATGCATTATCATCTCAATCTCATCTGGACCTTTCAAAGAAGGCATGGACTGCCTCTCAGGATTTTCCATTCTTGGTTCAATTCAGAGAAGCATTTATTACCAGCTTCCATACTCCATTACCGAGGGTTGCCTTGGTGGGGTATTAACACCCTGCACTTTGGGGATATGCATTTGTGCCTGCTAAGACAGCTCTCACCTGGGTCCTAAACCTTGGAGCAGGACTTAAAGTCCTGGGGCAGAAAGTGAAAAACATGCAGCATGCAGGCTGAAAATTAGATGCCATTAAATCACGTGAGTTGAAGCCCGCGCAGAACTGTTTGCCACCGCCACGCTGGACTTCACAGCGAGGCAGGGAGGGTACGAGCTTGTGCAGCAGAGGAGTCCGCTACAACACTAATCCGAGAATTAAATGCTTGGCAGAGTGCCTAACTCACAAAGCTCAGCAAATGACATTATTATCATTAGGTTAGATGCTGACCCACGACTGTAGTAGTGGGTAGAGGGAACGAGTAACAGAACAGGAGATAGTTGACTTACAACTGACACAACTGGGAGAACAAATGGCTGGGCAGGGAGGATGTCAGGTGGAGGAAGAAGTCCAAGATGTTTTTCACTAGGGCCCTGGCTGGCTGGAGAATGGCAAAGCCACTAAATAAAACGTGGAAAGCTGGAGGAAGAAGCATTATTCAGCTTGAGTGTGTAAGATACCTTTGGCCTATCCAAATGTTTCATGTTCAATAAGCAGGTGGAAGTAACCGGAAAGAGAGATAAGCGACTCCAGAAGAGATCGAAGCTGAGCACAGGCTTGGATGGTAGTTCAAGCCGTGATATTTGATTTCCCAGTAAGAGTGCGCACGGTTACAAGAAAAGAGGGCTGACAACGGGTTACCAATATGTAAGAGACAAGCAGAGGGACGGAGGTCAGTGAGAGGGAGATGGGGCAGTCCGACAGAGGAGAGCCAAGAGGAAGAGTCCAGGCTGCTGGGTGAAGGGAGCAGAGTGGCCCCACGCCAACACTAACTGCCCTGGAGAACGTGAGTAAAACCAGACAGACGTTTCCAGCAGATTAGACACACAGGGAAACATCAGCAACTTTAGAGAGAAAAGTTTCTGCGGAGTGACTGAGATGGAAGGCCGATGTTACAGCACATCAAAGAGTGAATGGGAGATAAAGAGGTAAGAAACAGCTGTATAAACTGCTCTTTCAAAAACTGGTGAAAAAGGGAAGGACAGCAAAAACCAGAGGGACAAAGGGTTTTGTCTTGTTTTGTTTTTAACAAGACAATACCACACGTGTTTGTGGGAAGCAGAGCTGAGGATCAGGGAAAGGGGAGAAAAAAATGGAGTAAATTCTCGAAGGAAGTGGAAGATTTCAAAAAGAGGTTAAGCATAATCTGACTCAATCACCTTTATTTAATATGCTTGGATTTGTTTTTCATGTATCAACTAGGAAATAGTTAGCATCTAATTTACTGAGACCAACTTAACTGGATGTAAAATAACTTCTCTTGTAAAACCTTACCTTCTCTTACTCAACACTACAGAAACAAACTTCCTGGACTAATTTAGTTTCAGTCAAAAGGTGACAATTGTATGCAGTGAGAAAAAAATATTTCTCTGCTATTTTAGTTTTATTTCTTTTTGTCAGAGGGAAATAAATTATTTATAAAACATTTATCAGATAAGCTCTTATTCAGGGAGTGTCCAGAATAATTTTGACAACACACACATAACTCTGAAATTTAAATCTTTAACCTCTGGTCTGTAGGGTCCAATTAGCCCAATTCTAGAGAATATATGAGCTCAAAAAATAAGCTAATAGCTAGCACACTAGGTTCCTTTTAACTGCCAGGTGGTAAGCTATTCTGAATCTGTTTAGATTTGTGGTTGAGCCTCAAACCATGTCTCTGGACAGCATTCTACTAGAGACAGAACAGTTATATTTAATATCTATGTACTTAAAAACAATGCTGCCCACTTTTCTCTTATTGCTGGACTCACTTAACCTGAAGACTCACTGTACTTTTTATGTATAAAACAGCAATGTTTACTTATCCAACTGATTTTGGAATTACATGATTGAGCCAACATGAAAACTGAGTCAATAAGAAAACAAGTGTGTATAAAGCAGTAACAAACAGCCTTTTTTTCCCAATACGTGTACCAAACAAATTTAACTTAGGAGAACTGATCTAAATATAAAACACTTCAAAAAGAAGAAAAAGAACATTATGCTTACTAAGAACTTTGGCATGATCCACAGAACATGTTCAGGGAACTGACCTCTGTGGAAAGTACACAGCATTTAAATGGCTATGCTTGAAAACCTCTTTACATAAGTTGGTCTACAACATTCTATGACTTCATCTTATAGAGCATGTAAATTGTGTCAACTTTTTGTGTTTTTCTAGCTCTAATAATTTGTTCAGAAACAGAACAACAATTTTTTAAAACAAAGAAGCTATTTTTCTCTTCTTGAACAGAGAATTGCCTTTTCTTCACAATTCATACAGAGGGAAAAAAAAAATCCATGAGTGCAAAACTCCCGTATATTTACATTCACCTGCATCCTCTCCCTCTTCCCTCCTGTTATAATAGAAGCAATGTGTGTTCTCCTATCAGAGGCCAATATGCCCTCTGCCCCCCAAGTCCTCCTTCTCAGGGACCTTGATGCCATCAAGCTACCCTCCTAAGCTGGGTACTTTCAGTCTCAATCTCTCTGTCTCTATCTCTTAATGGATTCAAACTTGTGATATTTAAGCATGTTCTAACGTCACTTACCTTAAAACAGCAAAAAAAATAACAACTCCCATCCATCCCCCAACCGTTTCTGAAACCCACAGTCCTCTCTCGCTAAATCTCTCTTTAACACCCTCCAGGACCAATCCTCTCAAAAGTTGTTTTCACTTGCATCCAGTCCTCAATTCTTCAGATCTGGCTTCTCTCACTAAATCGCCACCAAACTTGCTCTTGTAAGGTCATTAGCAGATCAGTAGGATCTGACACACCCCTGGAAGTAGCTTTTCTCCTTGGCTTCCATAACAGCACAATGTTCCTAGGTTTTCTCCTCATTGTTCTCCAAGCTGTAACCTTTCTTGGCAACTCCTTTTCTATCTATCCTTACATTTTGGAGTTTTTCAGGGTTTAGTTCTTAGTCACCTTTGTCTCTGCATTCTACAGTCTCTCCTAAAATGATCTCACCTACACCTGGGCTTTAAATATCATTTAAATGCCAATGATGCTACCATTTTTACCCACAATACAGACATTTTTGCTGAGCTCCAGGCTCATATCCCACTGATGAATTAAAGCACAGTGGTTTAGATGGGCCTTGGGGCCAGACTGCTTGGGTTTCGAAACTAGTACTTTACTTACTTTGGGGTAGACCTGAGGAAGTCGAAGATCTAAGACTCAGTTTCCCCATCTGTAATATTGGAATACTAGGAACAGTACACACTTTGTAAGGTTACTGTGCAGATTAAATGAGTTGATGAACGGACCTACTATGTAGCACATAGCAAGCTTTCATAATCCATGATTACCACTACCACATATGTCCATTAGTGTATGTCAAAGGCATCTCAAACTTAGTTTGATTTGTATAAAACTGGATCCTACTTTTTCTGCCCACCTTGTATCTATCATCCATGGTTCACCACCTACGAATTCTAAGGCATATTCTAAGATAACCCTTATGACCCTTTGCATGATCTCCTCCCCTTCAGTGAGTAAATATGATGAGACATCACTCTTGTGATAAAGGGAATTAAGGTCCTAAATCAGCTGACCTTATGGTGATGATTGTCTAGGTAGGCCTGACCTAATCACATAAAGTCAGAGATCAGAGAGTAAGATCACACAAAGCATGGAAAGCATTTGATTCACCTTTGCTTGCCTGAAGACAGAGAGGCCAAATGACAAGGAATGCAGATGGACTCTGAGCTGTCGGAGCAAAGACAATGGGACCTTAGGCCAATGATTATAGGAACTCAAAACCTGTGAAGTGCATTTTTAAGCTCACTCAAGTGGAGCTTGAAGTAGATTTTTACCCAGAGCTTCCAGATAAGAACTCAGTCTGGTTACCACCTTGATTTCAGCCATGCTGTGAGGGCTTTTAACTTACCGAACAGCTATGGGACTCATTTTTTACAATGCAAAACTAATCTCAATAAAATCCTTCAAAGGCATCACATTGCACTCCTTATAATACCAGAGCACCTTATCGTAACCTATGAAACCCTGCATGAAATGGCCCTGGCTACCTTTTCAGCCCTGTTTCCCACATCTCTCCTGCTTGGATATGATGCTCAAGCCACAGGCCTTTCTTACAGTAACCCCGGTGTGCTTAAGCCATTTCCTGATTCAGGACCATCTCTGTCAATCACTTCCTTTGGCAGAAATGCTTTTCCCCCAACTCATCAGACCAGGATAACCAGGGCCACAGCCTGCCCACTGCTACTTCATAGAAGCCTTCCCTCTCCCCTCACATGATGCCAGTCTCCCTGTTAGGCTCACAGAACCCTGTACTTCAAAGAGTTTATCACCACTGCACTCATAAGGTTAATTGTGTGATTATGTACCTAAGGTCTTTCTCTTAGGCACAGTACACTGAGGGTAGGAGCCATAATTTGTCCCTTGCTAAAACCCAGTATCCAGTATGGGGCCAGGCACAGAGTAAGAATTCAACAAGTTCTTAATTGATGAATAAAACTGTGGCTGTTCTGCCCAACTTATGCATGGCAAAATTAGGTCAAAGGTGTAAGTCTGATTTGTGTGGGCCCCATTAGATTTGTCCTAATTAGCCCTAAGTATGATGTTTCCTTACAAACAAATGACACCGGTATAAAGGAAGAACAATGGCAAATTCATGGGAAAGGGTTGTTGCAAATCTACTGCTAAGATTCACTGTTCATGCCCTCTTAAGGCAGCATCATAGTTAGATATCAAGTGCAATAATGCCCTTATTACATATTTTAAATAGTTCTTCCTTTAGGAAATATATATAATTCCACTTTAGTATTGATGTGGTTAGAGGACAGAGCGCTTCAGTTAACTGAATTTTCCAGTTAACAATGGGATATTCCACTAATGTAGAAAACTGCCTGGTACTGGAAGACTGCCCTGTGCATGATCTACACCTTTTTGCCAACAGAATTCATTCTGAAAGTGTGCCTCTATTTTATTGATTTCTCATTATGTATTTTTTTAAAATCAAAAGCTCTACTAATCATAGACCTTACTTTTTTCATTGTAGGAGAAATATAAAAATAGTAACACTGTAAGACATAGATTTTATTTAAGAAGCAAAACACTGGATAGAAAGTCAAATATCTTTCCATATTGTCCGTATTATTTATGGACTACATATATGTGTTTGCATATAACGTATTTAATTATAGGGTTACCTAATTCGTGCCTTAGTCCAGAAAAGATTTAAGGCAAATTACTTGGATTAACTAAAGTATAAGAAAAGAAGAAAAATAAGGGCCATAAAATGACACCAGGAAAAGGCCCGAGATGCATGTGCCAAACCACAAGTACATGTGGTGCAGGCCTGGCATGAGCCGCTTTCTAGCCACTAACTTGATAAAAGAGGTCGGTTTGTTCAGGGACCTACTTCACAGCATTCCTAAGGAAAACAGAAACAGCTGGTCAAAGCAGCTCAGCCAGGCTTGATACAAAGATCAGAAAGGAAATGTCTTCTTGGGAATTCCTTAGAGAGTACACCATTCTACTTCTACTAAGAACAACACTTGTTACCATTTTCTACTAAAATACTCATTTAACTGCTTCACATTGCTGTCATCCTCAAGTTACCCAGGCATCTGGCAAAATTATCTCTCGGCTCATTCAATCTTAAGTAAGATGTATTAGTTTCCTATTCCTGCTATAAAGAACTAACATAAACGTCATGGTTTAAGAACATTAACAGTCTGAAGCTGGGGGTTACAGAGCTTACAATCAAGGAGACAGCAAAGTTGTGTTCCTATTGGACACTCTAAGAAAGTATCTGTTCCTCAGTTTTTAGAGGCTATCCATGTTCCCTGGCTCATGGCCCCTCCCAGCAATGACATCACTCCAATCCCGTATCTCCTGCTCTCCCTCTGCTTCCATCCTTACATCAAACCTCCTGACTGGCCCTCCCGCCTCTCCAAGAAGGCTGAGATGAATCGGGC